GTGCAGGCTGTCACCATTGCTGTAAGTTCATATGAGCAAGCTCCCAGCACCTGGAAAACTCTGTTTACTTGTGGTCATTCACCACCCTTGGTTCTTAATCTTCCTGCCCCTCTTCCACAATGGTCCCTGAGCTATGGGTGGAAGAGGTTTAATATAGAAGTCTTATCCAGGGACACACATTCTGCAGTCTCTTATTCTCTGCATTTTGGCCAGTTGTGGCTTACTGTGTTAATTACCGAGAAAATATTAATGCATCTTTCAACCTTCACCAGCAAAGCTTCCTCATTTTATTTTAGTCTTTTTGAGACAGGGTCTCCCTGTAGCCCCAGCTGGCCTGAAAGTCACTATTTAGACTAGGCTGGCCTTGAACTCACCAATATCCACTTTCCTCTGCCTCCAGAGTGCTGAGATTAAAGGTGTGTGCCATCACAACTGGCCCTTATTTTAATCTTAAATTTTTTTTTAATGTATTTTTATTTTATGTGAGTTTTGCCTGCGGGTTGTGGGTCATGTGCATGCAATGCTTATGGAGACCAGAAGAGGGCGACAGATCCCAAGGAACTAACAGAAGGCTGATAGTGGCCATGTGGGTGCTGGGAACTGAAACTGGGTCCTCTGTAAGAGCAGCCAGTACTCTTAACTGTTGAGTCATCTTTCCAGCCCCCATTTTTAACCTTAAAAAAATTTGTTTGGGTTTTTTGAGACAGGGTCTCCTTGTTGCCCCAGTTGACCTGGAACTCACTATGTAGACCAGGATGGCCTCAGTTTCATAGAGATCTACCTACTTCTGCCTCCTGAGGGCTAGAATTAAATGCATGGGTCACCAAGTCCAGCCCTTACATTAAAAAAAAATTTTTTTTTGTTTAGTATTAATAAATATGTGTGTGTGTGTCTGTATGTGTGTGTGTGTGTGTGTGTGTGTGTGTGTGTCCAACATTGTTCCCGCTAGCCCTTGGTAATCACAAATGGGTGGTTGACTGGAAAACTGACCCATGAGTTATGCTTCCAAGCCTGTGGTCCAGTTTAAAGCACAAAGGGAAGTGTGGCCTGGTGAAGCCAGCTTGGACAGTTACTTTTCTTCCAAATATTCTTGGAAGGAGGAGGGGCGTGCACACTTGTGTGACTGGGGATTGAATTCAAAGGTTCGTGTGCTCTAGGCAAGTGCTTTACCACTGAGCTACCTCTCCAGCCTGTTTGCAGGTGATCTTGTCTCACCTTGGGAAAGCCAGGGTCAAGCGTGTGCAGCTGGCTCTCCAGGGCCTGTAGGGGACAAAGACTGATCTCCTTCCTTTGGCTTTTACAATTCAATAGGACACTCTCATGTGGGTCCCTTCTCCTGGCCTACTGGAAAGTTAAATCTCATTTGTGAGGTTCTATCCCTGTCCTCACCCTGATGGAGTTGTGTCGTCCTGGGCAACTTCTTCAGTTCAAAAAAGCAGGGATGTTGCAGCAGCCCCTGCCCAAACCTGCATGGTGTCCTGAGGATGGGGACAAGGGTGTCCTTACCAGCCAGGGGCCCCACTCCCCTGGGGCATGTGACAGACCGTTCCTCAGAGCATCCCAGCAAGTGGCATACCAGCAAGGAGCTTCTCTCTCAAGGACACCTGTTTCTGCCTTTTCCTGATTCCAAGTTCTCCCTTTCTTGCAGTTTGGCTGATAATCCTCCAATCCTAAAGGTCCATTGTTCTTTCTAGAACAGCTTTTCTGAAAAATAAAAGCCTATTTTCCACATTTTCCCTGTGATATGGGAGACAAGGTCTGCTCCCTGGGGGAAGGACTAGGGGCAGGGGACTGAAGTTGGAGGGTGAAGGGGCCAGTTTTAAATCTTCTTTTCCAGTCAAGAAACAACCCCAGAATCTGGACCTCAACACATTTTCCATCTCATGGTGGGAGGAAGACACTGGGTAGTGAAACCGTAAAGCTGGAGTGGGGCCTCCACACAGATGAAGTGCTTTATATCAGGAGGTCCTACAGGTACCCCACTACAGCTGGCAGGGAAGAGAGAGGTTGTGAGGAAAGAAGGGAGCTAAGTCTTCTGGAAACTTCAGGCACACCTCCCTTTGTTGATTCTGTGAGAAGGCTACATTCCCGGAGCACCACTGTAACATGCAGAGCTCCCTGGCTGGGGGCTGGGGGTCAGCAAGTCTTGGGCCTTAAGGTACTCTGTCCTGTTTACACTTACCATAATACTGGAATGTGTGAGACTCCAGCCCAAGAGGCCATCACGACAAGCCCACATTCCCAAGTGCTTTCACAATTGGGCCATTTAGAGACCTATAAAACCAGGCCTTTAAAGAGACCTGAACACAGTGACCCACTGCCACCAGAACTGTGTCATGAGTGTGCCTGACACCACTGCCCCCTTGCATAATTACCACATCCTCCTGCCCCTCTGATCATAGCAGCAGGAGGAGATGAGGTCCCCGGCCTGGCCTGGAAATTCAGAGAACCTCATACCTGCCCTGGCAGTTCGAGAAGATTTCACGGAAAAGCCAAACTGTGAAGGATGGTATCGAGGAACAATGGCAGCTCTAGGTATAGGCAAGTGAGGGGAAGATTCTGAACTTCTGAAGATGTACTCTTAAGTGCTTACAGGGAAGCTGGGGTGTCAGGAGGAGAGAGAAAGGAAGAGGTGGGCAGGGAGTGAGGTGGACCCAAAGAATGTTGCTCCTGTGTAACATAGTGGCAAGCAACTTGATCTCCCTGTGCCATGGGGATGGGAGCCCATGATCAACCTCCATGAACTTGGAGTGAGAAGGTTAGGTAAGATAAGACAGACTGAGGATGCCAGAGTGCGTGGTTGTAAGTGCCCCCACATAACCCTAGACTTGTAAATTGCTGCTAATGCTGCTGTTCCTTATACTCCTATTGGATCCCACATTCCATACCCAGTATATGGTTCAGGCTTTCAAGATACAAGAGCTCAGCCTTGGGTGAGGGTGATGGAAGTCATAAGGGTGAGTGGGAAGGAGAACTTTTCATAGTGTCTCTGGAAGTATTAACACAGATGTGCTTTGACTTATAACAGTTATGCTTGATCAAGCAATCACAGATTTAAAATATAAGATGAAGGGCTAGGGAGATGCCTCAGTTAAGTGCTTGCCACCCCTCCCCAAGCATGAAGACTTGAGTTTGAGTCCCCAGTGCCCATGTAAAAAAAAAAACCTAGGCATGGTGGTGTGCACTTGTAATCCTAAGGCTGAAGAGGTAGAGACAGGAGGACCCCTAGGCTCTCGGACCAGCCAGACTAGCTGAATCAGTGAGCTCCAGGTTCAGTGAGAGATCTGGTGTCAAAAATAAAGCGGAAAGTGGAGGACACTTGACATCCACCTCTGGCCTCCATACGTACACATACACACACATGCAAACACAGACACACAGACACATACACACATACACGCAAACACAGACACACAGACACAGACACATACACACAGAGACACATATACACACAGATACACACACACATGCACACACACACACACAGACACATACACACACACATGCAAACACAGACACACAGACACATACACACATACACGCAAACACAGACACACAGACACAGACACATACACACACACATGCAAACACACACACACACAAACACGCACACACACACATACACACACAAACACAGACACAGACACAGACACACACATGCACACACACACATACACACACACGCAAACACAGACACAGACACACATGCACGCAAACACAGACACAGACACACACACACACATGCACATGCACACATACACACACACAGACACACACACACAAACACAGACACAGACACAGACACAGACATGCACACACACACATACACACACACGCAAACACAGACACAGACACACATACACGCAAACACAGACACAGACACAGACACACACACACACGCACACATACACACACACAAACACAGACACACAGACACAGACACACACACGTACACACACACACACACAAACACAGACACACAGACACAGACACACACACGCACACACACACGCGCACACAAATATCCTAAGATGAAAATGCATTATGCATGTACCAAATACCAAATGTACCAATCACCCTAGCTCTGCACCACAGAACACTAAGGACTGTCCATTGTCTCCTCTTGGTCATAGAGCTGACTGTAGCTGCAGCTCTCCCATGCTGTCCAGCATGCTGGGGGGTATCAGATCACCTGTCACTAACCCAGGAAAAGAGTAAAATTCAAGACAGTTTCTGTCCAACGATATCATTTCACACCACATTGAAGTATAACCACTTTAAACAGGCTCCTGTAAAATGGGCGCATGCCATGTGCCAGAGCCCCCTTCTCCACATAACTACTATCCCCTCCCTCACTCCCCCAAGCCCCGTTCCCCAGCAGAAGCTTCTCCGGGGGTTAAGAACTGATGAACAAATCTTCAGATGATACATATTCCCTGCTTGATGTCCAGTAATAATGAGCTTGCACGCTGGATGAGTCACCTACACCTGGTTCACAGTGTTGTGCCTCCTTTACAGCCCAGCAGTCCCAGAGTCCAGCCAACCATCCTGAAAATTCTTTTCATTCAATAAACACTAATTGGGTGCGTGTCAACCTACTGATTCATGAGTTGGAAGGAGGCAAAATATTATTTAGTAGCCGCGCAGGAGCAGGCAGGTAACTTAATGCTACTGGACACAAGTTTCCCAAGCACCTTGTCCTCTGATCTTCAGCAAACGATACTTAATATGACCTCATTGGTGAACTAATGAGGACTTCCAGGAGACTTCAAGTTGCAGTTTTAGTTAAAAGCCCTTCGGTCTTTACGAACTAGGGCTGGTCTTTCTGGGTTAGGGCAATTCCTGCTAGTTAAAAGCTCTCTGTGTCTTTAAGAGGGGGGCGGCATCCTGTCAAAGAAACCCTAAAGCATAGGCTGAAGGCGCGTGGAGTCCCACCCACTTTCTGTGACGTCTCGCGTCTCGGCTTCTGATTGTCGGCTTCCCACGTCAATCGCGGGGCGTGCATCTTGCTGGGACACAGTGCAAGTCGGTGCTCTGGTCTGCTGGGTGGTCGGGTGTTTTCTGCGCACGCCCCCACGCCCGCGAGGCCCGCGCCGCCGGACCCAGCGGTGGAGCCGACCAGCGCCTCCCGTGGCACCCTCCCGCACCCGATCGCTCCTCGCTGGGGCGGGACGTGGCCCGACCGCTTCGGTCACTATGGTCAGTGTTTGCGGGGCGGGGAATGGGAAGGGGGCGCGGGGACCGGGGCGCCGCCGGGGCGCATGTGCGCGTGGGGTTCTGCGCGAGGCTCAGCCTCCGCCACCCGCTCAGTTGCCACCCTCGGGATGCGGCAACTCCGCTCCGGTGAGCCCCTCTGTCCTCGCGGACTTTCAGGCTGGAAGGTCCAGCTCGGCCCGAGCCCCCCCCCCACTCCCTCGGCCCCGCGTGTCCACTTCAGGTGGCCCGAGGACAGTCTGGTGGGAAGCCGGGGTGGGAGCCTGCGGCTGCCCCTACTCTGTCGCCAGCACGCAACCCATAGTGGACTTAGCCATTAGTGACCATATCTGTGCTACCCCTCTGCCCCAGCCCCAGTAGTGGCCCTAGGGCTTGCTCCGGTGGCCAGGTCGCTTGGGCCAGGAGACAGTTAGACATTCGCTCCATGTTCTAAGGGCAACAGGTCTTTGGAGTTAGGACCACATAAAGAGACCTGCCAGCAGTTGTGAGTCACGAGTTAGGGGTCCAAGGAAGGTGATCTAGAAGAACCTCGCATTTGGGCAGGACAGGTTCGGGAGACCCTGTAAACCTGGCCAAACCCAGGGCTTGGGCAAGTGGGAAATAGACCAGACAGAGAGAGGTGCTGGTAGGCATTGTGATTGTGTGCCAGCTGGAACTTGAACTCAGGCCCCTGGTCCGGTGTTCTGTGTTGTATCAGCCCACCCTCTAGGTTGGTGGGATCAGCCTCTTACAGGATGTGATGGCCACCCTATATCTTTCAACCCTGAGCAGGGGCTCCAGGGAGCTGGGCCCTTCATTGTAAATGCCATTTGTCAGGCTTAGGATCACATAGCCCTAGGCTCCAGGGTCTCACATCCTGTCCTTTGCTCTGTTTGGCAGTGCTGAGGTTGGAACCCAGGGGTGCTATGCAAAGCTCCATTTCTGAGCTTCACTCTAGCCCCTCACTTCCATTCATGGAAGTGGGGAGCTTGGCTTGTTTTGCACAGCTGTCTCAAGGGTTGCTATAAGAACCCTATAAAGTAGGGGGTGGGGTGGGGAGGGGTGCCAGGGCATTTGAAATCCTGAAAGTGGGTTCCTGCAGGTGCCTGGTTTGTTGTGCTTCCCCCACCACCACCACTACTTTTAGGTCACCACTTTGGGATGCTGCCAGGCCAGGCTCTGGGTCAAACCTGTGCTGAGTGTGGTGTGGGCAGCCAGGGCACCTTATGAGCTGGGGTGTGAGCAAGAGTCTAAGGAGGGCCCCTGGAAGCACCAGTTTCCTGCTTCTTCCTGGTGCCCAAGGGTTTACCTGCTCTGCTGCTCTTGAAAAGTGCATCACCTCCTGGAGAGTCAGGAGCTGTTGTAATGATGGTCTCAGCCATCTGGGAGCTGGAGGCTGGCATGCCCTCTGGCCACCACTGGTGGTAGCTGAGAGCACACTAAGGTAGTAGGGGCTGGGACCTCAATTTCTGTCCCTTGTGCTGTGTGGGGAGTCTACTGACTCCACCCTCCCATCTGCCCTAGACCCAGGAGAGCAGTGGCTAGAGGGCAACTGGGACTCAAAGCACCACCCTCTCCCCTCCCACCTCTGGGGAGTTTGGGTTCCTTGGAGAGGGATATAGTACTTAACCCACTAAATGGAATATCTGTCCAGAAGTCACAGGGGCAGCACTGAAGGCCGTTTGCATGGCACTTATCAGGTACCTACTCTGTGCCAGGCATCTTGCTAAGCCCCGGCATCCATGGTTGGTTTCTTTTTATGTTGGTTGAGTCTGAATGGTATGGGTGATGGATACAAGACTTGTCTTGGGGGTAGCAGCACCTTTCTTGCCATGTCAAAGTCTCCAGGTTGAGCTTGAGGGTCCTCAGGCATCAGGGGCTGCAAATAGTGAGGGGCTCATACTCAAAGTGCTTTTACCATTTGGGGACAGAGTGAGCATTGAGCAGTCAAGCCACAAAGTCCTGTTTGCTTTCTTCTGTCATTTGTCAAATAAGCCACTGCTGGGCATCCTCCTCAGCCTGTGTGGGGCAATGATAAGAAAGACAGAGCAGCTGGGCATGGTAGTGTATGCCTTTAGTCCTAGCACTTGGGAGGCAGAGGCAAGCAGATCTCTGTGAGTTCAAGGCCAGCCTGGTCTACATAGTGAGACTCCAGGCCAGCTTGAGCTACAGAGTCTTTTGTGTTTGTGTGTTTGGGACTTTTGTTTTGTTTTGCTTTGCTTCATACATGTAATACTTGGTTTTTTGTGGATTGGCTTATTTCTTTCAACATGGTATCTTCCAGTTCCCTATATTTTCCTGAAATTTTAAGGATTTCTTTGGGTTTTATTGTTGAATGATATTCCACTGAGAGTGAGAGACAGAAAGAGAGAGAGAGAGAAAGAGAAAGAAAGAAAGAAAGAAAGAAAGAAAGAAAGAAAGAAAGAAAGAAAGAAAGAAAGAAAGAAAGAAAGCATCTAACCCCTCTGGAAGATCATGCCTGTGGACCAGGTCAGAGCCACGGATACTTCTCAGAGCCTGAGAAGTACCTTCCAAGGGAAGGAGGACTGGTGGGGAAAGCCTCACCAAGGAGACCTTTTGAAGGGGCTGGAGAGATAGCTCAGCAGTTAAGAGCACTGGCTGTTCTTGCAGAAACCCGAGTACATTCTGGGTTGCAGGGAGATTGACCTTGGGACATGATCAAGAGTAGGTGACCTGGGAAGAGCAGCAGCCTCTGTAGAGGCAGGGAGATTACAGGAGTCCAGGGCAGTGAGTCTGGAAAATTTGGTCGTATTTGAATGTGCAGGGTTTGGCATGCTAGACTGTGGAGTTTGGGAACCGCATGAAGGAACCACAGTATTTTTGACAGAATGCATGTTGGATGAGCTCCCTCACAGTGAGTGGATGCAGAGTTGTGGGTGGCCAGCTGGAGTGAGAGACAGGCTGGTCTGCTTGCTCATTGAGTGAGCTCATCAAGACTGCTGTTGCAAAATCCTTCAGTACGGTGAGATGGAGCCATAGGAACTTGCTCTCTGGCATATCTGGAGGCTGCAGTCTAGGATGAAGGTATGGGCAGGGTCACACTGCCTCTGAAAACTCTTGGGAATGTTCTGTCCTTGACTTCTCCAAGCTCCCAGCAGCAGTTTGGCTTGTGACATCAGAACCTATTTGCAGATGGCTCTCCTGTCTGCATGTCCACATTCCCTGTTTAATGACGAAATCAGTCATGGGACTAAGGACCCACCCTCCTCCTCCAGTGTGACCTCATCCCTACTAATTGCATCTGTGATGAATCTATTCCCGAATAAAGTCCCATTCTGAGGTCTGGAGCTAGGCCTTTAACTTATAGCACTCAGGATGCTGAGGGTACATTCCTGCATTCCAGGCAGTGGGAACCCAGCTGTAACAGAGAAGTCTCTGCCCTTCTAGCAGAGGGAGACCATGCAAGTCAACAAGCCAACCCACCAGATAAGTCATGTCTTGAACAAGCAGGGCAAGGTGATAAGGTGGTGGAGGAGGTGTTCAGAGAGGCGAGGTGACTCAGCCTTAGAGACGGCTCTCCCAGGTTGGTGTTACACACTGGCAGTGCAACTGTTCTGTGGTCTCAGCGGCTGTCCTGGCCCTGTGGCTCTGCTGGGCATCACCCTAGTGGGACTCCCCCTGGTGGCTCTAGGCACCCAGGCTGTGCATCACACTCCTCAGCTTCTGGTTCTTTAGACCTCAGGGCCAGCCCACAATGGACTCTGCCAAGGCCACAGCTTTGACCACCGGAGCAGCAGCTCTCCCCATGCCCTACCCCAGCTGGTCACTCAAGAGTGAGGAGTGCGGTCATGAGTGTGGGATACTTGAGGGGAAGCAAGGCAGTGAATGTTGATGCTCCAGCTCCCTAGAAACATGCCCTCTGGACAAAACCAGCCTCCGAGATCCCTTGTGACACCTGGCTCCCTTCTGTCCTTAATCTCTTTAGTAGGTGGCCACCGGGCCAAACCTTTGGTTTGCTCTCTTACAGATACAGTTCATTCTTTCTCTGACCAGTCACTCTGACCAGGCAGCAAAGTTTCTAAGACTTTAATTCATTCTCTCTCTCTCCATCTCTCTCTGTCTCTGTCTCTCTCTGTCTGTCTGTCTCTCTCTCTCTCTCTCTCTCTCTCTCTCTCTCTCTCTCTCTCTTTGAGAGAGGGTCACCCTGTAGCCCCAGCTGGCCTAGAACTTACTATATAGACCAGGTTGGCCTTGAATTCACAGAGATCTGCCTGTTTCCTAGATACAGTTGAAAGACACCTCACCACAGACTAAATGGTCGCTGTTTCTGTTTCTCCCAGCCAATACCTTTCTAGTTCAGCACTCACAGGTCTGTCTTCTGCTTAGCCCTCGGACAGGGACACCATGAGGCCAAATTCTTTGCCACTTGAAGAGGTGGCCCTTCCCACAATCTCTGGAACTGCATTCCTCACGTCCATCCCAGGCCACACCCGCATGGCCTTCCCTGTGGGAGTTCCTGCCAGCATTCTGCTCAGAATCTTCTAAGAAACTCCTACTTTTCCTTCTGTGCTCCTTTCTAACCTGCACCACAATCACTCTGCATAGTCCATTCCCCATCTTGCAGGCTTCTCTAGGGAACTGCTCCAGCCCTGCCTGCTCCCCACTTCCAAAGCCACTCACTCGTTTCCAGGTGTTGTAGCAGCACCTGCTCCCAGTCCAATTTTGTGCCTTAGTCTTGTGTTGCTGTAATAGATTATTGCACACTGGGTGATTTGTAACAAGGAGAGCTGAATTGGGCTCATGGTTCTGGAGACTGGGAAGTCCTCAGTCCAGATGCTGGCATTAGGCTGGGGGCTTCTTGCTGTCTTACCAGGATGGAAGGTGTCGTGTGGCAGAAGTGGGGGGAGCTATAGAGACTGAGTGAGCACTGGGCATGGTCTATGATAATGACCTTAGTACATTCATGAGGCAGCTGTCTTTTGATTCTGTGACAGTTGCAATTAAATCTCAACAGTATGGGAGGAGACAGAATACCGAGGAAGGGT